GTGCCTGTCTGTCTGTCTGTCTGTCTGTCTGTCTGTTTGTCTGTCTGTCTGTCTGTCTGTCTGTCTGTCTGTCTGTCTGTCTGTCTGTCTGTCTGTCTGTCTGTCTGTCTGTCTGTCTGTCTGTCTGTCTGTCCGTCTGTCTGTCTGTCTTTCTGTCTGTCTATCTGTCTGTCTGTGTCTGTGTGTCTGTGTGTCTGTGTGTGTGTTCTTTTTCTGTACATTTTTCCTGTTGGTATATGCCTTTTAAATAGATGATGAATATTTTATTTTCCGTTGTGTTTTACTGTATCCGAAACTGAATTATGATATATTGGAATATCCTGAGAATATATATGCTGATGATCAGTTTAGCAGATAACTGGCTAGTTTTAGGACTCTAGATATAACAAATTATGTAATGATAACTTTTAGAAATAAGTATGAATATTTATCTCTTAAAAATAAACATTGTACATGATGAATAGAAATAAGTAGTCTGCCAGATGAAACTTAACTTCTGATTTTGTATTTTGCAGTTGTCTTTCCTGCAGCTTTTCCCAGAGTGGTTCATAGTAATGTGCTTCAGGTACATGGTGGAGTTCAACCAAAAAGAAGTTAAAATGAAGTGGGTAAGTGCTGCACTTACTTTATGGCCACCAAATAAATCCTTCCAAGCAAATGAGAATAATGAGATGGAGAGAAAGATTGTAATGTCAAGTGCTGCACTTTAAATATATGTGGTTTAATCAGTTGAGATTTGTCATGAGTGGATCGTCGAGTGAACTTGTTTTCTTTTTTTTGTTCGTTTGTTTTTGTCTTTTGCCCATGTTTTTAAGGACTTTTATTTGAAATTGAAAAAGGGAAATATTTTCTGTGTTTTATGTTTTTGATGTTTATTAATCGGAGAGTGTGACAGTTTGCTCGTCGAAAGTCTGTATTGTAGAAACAAGATGGAAGGAAATTAATTATCTTATATTTTGGTGTGATGAATATAGGGATGGGTTGTTGTTAGTTTTCTTAATTTTTCACTTTTTATTTTTTTTTTATAAATGTTGACAGATGAATAAGGCTGGAAAAATATATATGATACAATTTTCTCAAGTCATTCATTGATTACCTTCATTCAGTCTCTTGAACCATATTATGTCTGTAACCCTTGCAGAAATGTCATGATTTTATGTCAGTGACTTACTGGCAGCTTGATTGAATAGTGATTTAGAAGGTTTTAAGCTACTTTTGCTTAATATTACCTGCAATGACTTAAGAGCTTTTGTTGGGTATATGTTATATTGGATTACATAAAAATAGTTTATTATGGCATTACTCCTCAGTGCATGCAGTTCATATGATAATGATTAAGATAGAACGTCATCAGATAAATTAGGAATTAAGGGAGAGATTCATGTTTTTATGTACTGAACCTTATTGCCTTTAAATGAAAGCAGCAAGATATGGTGGCATAGACTATGATGCATTAAAGTCTAACATTCCACTCCAGATAATGTACATATTGTGATTGTTGATTGTATATTGTTATCATTTATATAAGAGTTTAAGGAAGTAGCTTTGTGAATGACATTAGCAAACCTATTGCACTGTGGCAATATATGAAGTGGGACAAGCTTATGTGTGATGTTCTGTTTTTTTTTTCCTAGACATGAATCAATGCCAGTTTTCTTGCTAGGCCTGGAAGATTTGCTTGCTGTGAGGAAAGTGTATTGTAGAATTTTTGGTAAATGCGAGGTTGGAAATTTGAAGTTCAGTGAGTAATTATGAAACAGATGTAAACCAGAGAACCAGCTTTTGTTTCGTTCTCAGGTGGAAGCTATGTGAAAGGAATGAAATAGGAAATATTACAAATATTGAACTTCAGTCTTTAACTGTGACATGTCTCATGAAATATCCATTTGGTAGCCTACAACACATACTCAAGAGAGTTGGTTGCTCACCGATATTAACACCTATGTATAGTGTTTTGGAGGGAGTTAAATGCATCTCTTCTGATATCTCCCAGCTTATCCCAAGATACAGTACCTCATGCAGTAGTGACTGTTTAGAATCCTATTTTCTATGCAGCCCGGATTAATGAGGAAACTGGTAAATTTGAAACATTATATATTTGTTGTCTAGATGTTTTAATTTTTTTTTTTATTCAAAGCGAGAAATATATGCCTTACAAATTAAGAAGCATAATTTGTTTGCATTCAGAAGCCATTTTCTGGTTTTGTTAAATCTCTTCTGTGGTACTTTACTGGTTAAGAGAGGTATTTGAAAAAAAAAGTTTATATAAGTAACTGATTGGAGTTCTCATAAAAGTGAGATTTACAAACACCAACATTCAGTTTGTAGACATTTACATAGATCAAACTGCAGATTGTTTAATTGTGCCATTGCAGATTCATTCTAGTGTACTTTTATAATGCAGTGATCCAGTGTAGGTAAATGTACACCTGTATAACTCCTACCCAGAGAATGATTTGTTTGTGAGACAATCTAGATTTTCATAGCACAGTCAAATCTGTCATGCACGAATATGTAATCTGCAGGATAGAATCATTGTGCCCTTAGTAACATTTGATAGAATATTACCTTGAAGATAATTGTATGGAAACAGTCAGGCTGTGAAGAACTTTGCCAAATAATTGTAATGGTAAGATTGATTGTGGTAAGTCTTGTGGGTATTTTTGCTTAGATTTTGTGACCAGTAAGAGTGAAGAGTCGCCTTGCAGTACGATAAGAGTTATTTGTTATGATTTATAATGATAAACCATTTTATAATGGGATAGAGAGAGTGTTTTAAAGGTTGTCTTCTGTATCTAATTATCATCTTTGATATTTATTTATTTTCTTTATTATTATAATTTTGTGTGTTTGTGTGTGTGTGTGTGTGTGTGTAAATATGTCTGTTTAATGAAAGTTGTTTTGATTTCTCAACTGTTTCGTCAGGTGAATGGTATTGGATAATCATGAATAAATGCTGTTTATGATAATTTGTTTTGGTATTATTTCATTCACTCTATTCATTTTTGTCTGTTAATCCCTTTTTGCTGATCTTTGGTTGCCATCCTCCTTTTTACAATGACATCATCTTTTAGTTGAAATATCTACTTTCGTTGAAAACTCATTTGAAAGTAAGGAAATGAAGTGGCATACTTTGGTACCTCCAATCCCATTCTAGATGGTTTAGAATCCAGTCTACAAGATAGTAGTGAAAAAAAGTGTTTTTCAGCTTGTTTATTTCCTATTCTATACCCTGTAGAAAGATAATGATGATTAGTGGTTGATAGAAAATAATTAGGATGTTATTTTACTCATGTGTCACAAGAAATATTGTTCATTCAATATAAAAATTTCCCACATTTTGATTCCCATTCCACATAGCTTACATTTTCTGTCTTCATTTGCATTATATGAATTAGTATTTATTATTTTTGCTCCTACTTCTCAAGGAATGCTAAATTCTCCCTTACGATGTATTTTTATCAAATTACTAGACTTTCTTTTCCTCTTTGTGCCTTGGTTGATAGATATTTTATTTTGCTATTTATTTATTTGTGAATTTGGATCACAGTGCCATATTTCTATAGGACCCATAGAATCATAGATTCTATATGCTCAAAACATTGTAGTGTTGTAGTTACCAAAGAAGCAAATGGCCTAGATCTTCAGTGATATGAGACTAGCTATGCAATAAGGCTGATGTATCTGTGATGCACCACACTCATCAACGTTATGCACTTAGTAAAGTTCAAGTCAACAGGCAATTTTCACTATTGTGGCTCACTTAGTATTCCAAGAACTGATTGCAAATTTGAGCTCCTCTTTGTAAACAATTTTAACCCACTGGTGCAGGATACAATCAATGTTTGCTGTGATTTTGTGTTATTAATTTTGTTTACCATAGATGGCTTTACAAGCATCAAGCAATCAGTTGTATCTCGTGTTTACCCAATCCTTGATTTTTGTTTGTTTCTAATATTGATAACATTATAAATATCACCGTATCTGTTATCATCATGATTATCATTTTAAGATTATT